AGGGCGACGAGGTGCATATTCCATGAAAAGACTCAGTTGTCAGCCTTCCCATTGCCTATTTGGAACTTGCTTGGATAGGCCTGGGGGGATAGGTTGTGCCAGGCCTTTAGAAAACATACCAGGGAGCCTCATGCTGGAAATCTTGTGCAAGGTCCAGTTTCAAGCTTGGATAGGCCTGGGTGACTTTTTCTTGGCTGCCACCCAAAAGAAGCCAGATTCCCACCTGAGCGCTTGCACAGGTGCAGACGAGGATGCTGGCTGGATGGGGTTGTGGCGTTTCTATGGCAGTGCCTGGCCTGGCACCAGTGTCTTGGAAGGATCCAAGCCTCTGCAGATTCCAGGGCAAATGAGGTGTGATGGCTTTTCTCCCTTTTCTCCAGTATGTCTTGCCCTCTAGTTTGCAGCTGTGGCGGGATGTGATTGACAGCATGGTGAGCCATTCCCTGTGGCTGAGGGCTCTGTTGGGCCTGCCTGAGAAGGAGACCATCTATCTGGACGTGCCAGAAGAGCAAGGTCAGACACTGTGCAGCCATGTCTCCACGTAGTCTTCCTTATCCCTCTGCCCAGATAGCAGTGGAGACTCAACCTTTCACACCCTTCCGGTGGGAACCTCCATTAGGCTGATATATAGAGTAGGCCCTGCTACCGTTTTATCTGCTGCCAAAAGTGACCTTAGTGATCACCTTAGTTCAGTCCCCTCATCGTATAGGTGGAGTCTCGGAGAGGTTAAATGACTTGTCTGTGCCAGACTTAGGGGGGTGACAGAGCTGGGTCTAGAATCAGGCCTCTTGCCCCTGGCTCGCGGTCCCTACGAGATCACGTACCTGAGCCAAAGACTCTACTTAGTCTATGCGAATTCTCTCAGGACTGCTGACAGCGCTTTGCTTTTCCCAACTCCTCCCTGTGGGCTCAGCCAAGCCACAGGCCACATTGCCTTCTATTCACCTTCCTTAGATCAAAAATCACTTCCTGTCATGGAAATAAAGGTGACGTCCGCAAGAGTTGGAAAGGAGGACCGGAGAGGGGCAGCCCAGGAAAAGAAGCAGCTGGGAATCAAAGACAGAGAAGATAAAAAAGCCAAGCTGC